ATTTTCTTTTGTAGTAAATGTATTCTCTCTTTACAAATGCAGTAAAATAAAGGTCGCATTACTCTTTCATGTGATTATATCATTTGTTCTAATTATTTTGTTTTCCTTCTTTGAGGTATCCTAGTCACGATTACCCTATAAATCCCTGAGTATACTTTTTAATGCGTGGTAGGAAAGCCCTAGTGATCCTTGAGAGTGGGATCTGAAGACTGGAGCATATTGACTGTATGACCAAAATCACCTACAGTTCTTTTCTTTAAAATGGACTCCATTATGTTCAAATCAGAGACATGGTGGTGGCTTCCCTATGCTAGACATCCAGAAGGACCTATGCTTTCCCGAGGCCACTGAGCCGTGTTTTCACTACTGGGTTGATACAAGGCTGAGGGATTGAACCTCTGTCTATGACTTTCTTCTTCACACCAGTTACTCTTTTCAGTCCTAATAGTTCTTTGCAAATGAAGGAGAATGGTCCTCCTCCTTCCCGTGTTCCCAAGGCTTTGTACAATGAAGAACATTCCATGACAAAAATCAAGCTGATTCTCCAGTCTGGCAACCTTCATTAGCTCACATCACCATTTCCGCAAGTCTGTCTTTCCTCAGGATGGCTGCAGAGGGACAGGGCTCCAGACTAAGCATGTCTAATCTGCCATGGCCCTGGACACCAGCCTGCATGTGAGATTGCCCGCATATGAGATTGCTTTCTTGCCCTAGGCTGATTTGTGGTTGGGACCTGACCTGTCCTCCTCAAGGTCAGAGGGAGCCTGTAGTTCCTATAGCCTTGAATTCTAAAAGTAGGTATGAGTCATGATATCTCTCTTTCTCTGAGGCTTCTTGAGGCAATGGAGATGTTGTTCTCAATCAATCTTCAACAACATTGTAGCAGAGCATACAGGTAACTTGTCTTTTTTTTAAAAAAAAATCAAAGTTTAATCTTGAAGGTCTTCCTGCCATGAAGTAGTGGGAAATTGGCACAGGAAAGAGCCAGCTTCAGTTCTGTAATGAAAACACCTGTCACTTAGACTAATTTCCTGAGAATAATGAATGTGATGAATGGAGAAGGTGACCAGGTTAAGCCACACTTCCTCTTCACTCAGCATCTTGCCCAGTCACTTAGGCACAAGACCTCAATATTGTCATGTAGGTGGATGGATTCAGTTAAATTCAGTCACATAGAAGGAGCAGGCATTTGCTGCACGAGATATTCAATGTTTGTAAAGTTCCGGAATTCATTATGTCTGATATAGCATGGCAAGTAAATTGATAGAAAATTAATTGGAAGATAGTTCCAAACATAATAGCTCAGCAGAAACATCCAGAATCAATTAATCAAACTGCAACTCATTTTAATTGGACATACTCTAACCCTGGAAAGCCCCTGAAATCTTTAATTAAGCTTTCAACACAATCCTATTTACATGAGACATGTTTCTCAGAAGTGTTCCATCCAAAATAAAGTTACTGACTGGAAATCTAATGGAAAAGTTACAAATCCTCAGGATGTGTGATTCAACTATGTCTAATTAGATATAATGTTTTCTGATAAAGATGACATGAAAAATATTTGATTAAGCAAACATTAAACTCTTTGAAAGCACAGAACAAAGAAGTCCTAGTTAAGAAGATAGATGTTGATCACTGCCACAAATTATATTTGTGTTTATATTCCATATAGAACACATACATTTATGTGCTAATATTTTATGTTAGTAACTGTAGCCTCTAGCATTCTTCGTCTTGCAGTGGGGACAAGGGGCCTGCTTTGGAACGATGGCCACCTGTGGGTTCTTCTAATCAACTTGTGCTTCAAACCAAATGTATTTATTAATTTCCTCATTGTACCTGTAGACCAGTTCATGAGATTATCTATGCCTCTAGTTCCCCATCATGCAAAACAAACAAGAAAGAAATAAATTAGAATAAATGAAAATGGACTATGTTTAATTATTGAACCTGGAGGTATTTAATTATAATTCTGCTATCAGAAGACTAAAGTAAATGCTTGAATTAGAATAATGCAAATATTTCAGAGCAAGAAACACACAGCAAAGTGTAGCAAACATGATACTAAAGTGATTTAGTATCACTATATGCTGCTAAATGTAATATCACGATCTCACGCACTATAACAGGAGGTAAATCTGGGATGCATCCCTAGTCCCAAATTCATATCTCCTGCTTCTCCAAAAGGTTCCTGTACCAAAGTTGAGCCATAGACAGCAGGCTGGCTTATCCTGGGAAGAAAATTCTAGCAAGGATGCCAAAAGAACAGGGGTCAAAGATACTGAACCCTTAGGTGCTTATTGAGTTAAGTTAGCAGACAGGGACACTGGGTAAGGGTGAAACCAGAGTGAGAAAGGGATGGCAATTCCTGACAAGGCAGAAAGGAGGGTTTGAGAATGATGGGATTTTTCAAAAGTACAAAGAATAAAACACAAAGATTATCTCTGAGATGAAATAAACTCCTTCCTTGACATGCCTAAAAAGGAGACAGAAAGAGAGAGAGCGAGAGAGAGAGAGAGAGCTTTCTCCTTTAGTCCCTGAATGCCATTCTTGCCCTCTGTCCATGGTATGCTGCCACATGTTCAGGACAGTCCTCCCTGTCCACCATTCCTCTATGGAAATACCCTCCCAAACACACCCTGAGGCATATTTGCTAATCATCTTTGCACTTCTCAGTCCAGTGAGCTTGAAGCTAGAAACTGGGCTCAATGCCACACCCCATTCCCTCTGAATCTACAGACAACAAATATGACCCACATCCTGAGGATGTTTGTATCTTTCACTGAAGAAGACACATGTGATGTGAACTAAAGTAGTTCAAATGTAGAAAATTGAATTTGTATAGAGAAATTTGGAGAAGACCTTGATGTCCATGAATCTGAGTCCTAAACAGGGTGAGTTCAAATTTCTCACCAGTTCATGCTTCATGATGTGTCATTATCCACATAAATTTATTCAGAAACGTTCATACAGTTGGGCCTCCTTCTTAGTATCAGAGTCCCCAGTGTCCCTGTAGGACAGAAGGCAGCCTCTCCTCAATCCTGGAACTCCTAAGCCCCCATCTTCCAAATGAATGAAAGAAAAAAGTAATCACTGGTTTTTGCACCATTGTTATTTGTCAGGTACTATCCCATGTGCTGTACAAAAGTGGTTGGAATAGATCCTGTTCCATAAGTATTCAAATAAAGAGACAGAGAATAAATTACTGGAATGCAAATACCCACAGATTATAAAAATATAGCTATGTACAGATTTTATGGCAAATTTCTTGGATCTGAGCCAAAGAATGTCTAGTCTCTGATAACAAGGAGAGCCTATAGCTAAGGCTAAGTGTAGAGTTTCCTATGTGGGTACCACCATATCATTGGCTAAAGGCACAGGTTATTAGAAACCTGTGAAGTAGAAGAGGGTGAAACGTATATGTTCTAGGAAAGATGCATGTGTAGCAGATGTGAAACGCCCATAATAAGAAGACATCATCTGCTAAAAGATGGAGCTTCTGTTAACATTCTTTAGAATGTTAAGAATGTATAATCACCGTTCTATAGAACTTTCCAGATTAGTAGACTAAGAAACTCTGGAATTTCTAGACATACAAGTTTACATTTAAGCCCGCTTAAGGCTTATGTTCCTGTCAGGACGCTGCTTATATGATGGCGATCCTACAGTCATTTGGGTAAGAATCACCCAAGAGACTTACTAGACTTTTAGATTCAGCATCTTATTGTGGACTACAGAATCAGCCCCTGAGTACACGTTTAAGAAAATCTCCACCCCATGTCCAGTTCCTTAAATCTCTGCTGTGATGGCTAATCTTGATTGTCCACTCTGCTGGACTGAGGCATGCCTAGATTAATAAACACACCCCTGAATGAGTCTGTGGGGATATTCCCATAGAGGATTAAGTAAAGGAGGAAGAGTCTTATTGAATGTAGGTGTCACTATAGCATAGGCTGAGGGCACAGGTTATTAGAGCTGCAAAGCCATGCAGCTTAGGAATTCTCTCTGCTTCCTGACTATCTCTGCTTTCTCATGTCCTCCCTGCCTCGACACGATGAAGCCTCTGAAACCATGAACTAAAATAAATTGTTCATTCTTCAAGTTGATAATGACAGGTGTTTGCCAGAGTGATGCAAAGTGCAATGCATCTGCCTTGGGATAATGGAGCCCAACTTCATCCAGACATCTTAGATGTCTTCAACTTGATAAACGTTCAGTTATGTACTTAATAAACTTCATACTACGGTATCTTCATCAATCTCCGTTTCCAATTCTGTTGACATTCTTCCCAAGCATAAAACAGCAGCCAAATTTTAAAAAAAGTATATATCACTGGGAAATACGCCAGAACAAGTAACTAAAACAAGATAGTCAATTATCATTTTCTCTGAAATAAATGAAAACTCATCTCAATGCCTTACTATGGGCTCCTTCACAATTTTTGTTAAATTAAAACAGACTCAATCAGGATCAAGTCTTGAAATACACTTAGCCATGGCTATATATTTTTTAAAATTGCAAAAAAATGAAAAAGCAAACTCCCAAATACAACATAAACCTATATAAGAGTAACAATACATATTATTATTTAGAATGAAAATAAAGCATGACCTTTATTTTGTCTTTTGAAGGAAAGTGATGGGGGGAAGTTCTTCCAATTTAAATTTTAATAAATTACTTTTAGAAAACATGTACGTAGGGCTACAGCATGACTCAGAGATAATTTGTCTAGCATTCATTAGGACCTGGGTTCAATGCCCAGCAGAAAAGGGCAGGGTGATGCAAAAAAATTCAAGCTTAGAAGTGGAATTTCTGGTGGATCCTTTTGAGGGCTACAGTTAATTTTAAAAATGTGCTTTTAAAATTCCAATGTCCTCTAATTTTGCTCCTCCACTTCCCCCTGTTAGATCACAGACTTTGGTCTTCTTCATCAGGCCTTGGGCCTGTTTGGTCTTTAAATCCTGAATAACATGTTAGCATTTGCCTTTCCCTTGTAGGTGGGACGGCCACGCGGCAAAGGGGCTTCCTGGGCTGCATCAGGTCTCTGCAGTTGAATGGGATGGCCCTGGATCTGGAAGAACGAGCCATGGTGACTCCTGGGGTGCAGCCAGGCTGTCGAGGGCACTGTGGCAGCTATGGGAAGCTCTGTCGCAATGGAGGGAAGTGCAGGGAGAAGCCCAGTGGATTCTTCTGTGACTGCTCTTTCTCTGCCTACGCAGGGCCATTCTGTTCTGATGGTAGGTGTGGCATGAGACTGTACCCACGTGACTAAAACAATGGGAAGTTCTTTTTCTGTATAGCTATTCCAAACAAAAATATCTGTTCTTTAAAACTCCTTATTATGAAGTATCATTGAATGCCAAGAACACTTCATTCCTTTGCCGTTTGACTCACTTCTTTAAAAATAAGTGTCTACTGTTGCATAATCTCAAGCAACAGGTGTCTTCAGTATTAACTGACCCATCTGTTTCTGTTCCATCTACTGTTGATGATTTAATTTTATTTCTTTGAGAATTTCACAGAATGTATTTTGATCACCCCCATCCCCCAATTCCTCCCAGATCCAACCCTCTTCCCTACACACCCGTCAAATCCAGTTTGTGCCACTCGTATGGGCTTAGGTGTGTGGCCATCTTCTGGAGCAAAGAAAACTGACTCTCCCTCTGTCATCAGCTATCAGTTGCCCACCTCCCCTCTCCATGCTGGGATTTTGTCTGGCTTGACCTTGTACAGGTTTTTCACATGCTGTCATAACTACTGTGAGTTCCTATGTGTAACTTCCCTGCTGTACCCAGAAACCCCTTTTGTTCTGGTCATCTGCTGCCTTTGGCTCTTACAGCATTTCTGCCTTGACTTCCGCAGTGATCCCTGAGCCTCAGGAGGTGGGGTGTGATATACTCACCGCATTTAGGATTGAGCATTTCCCAGTCTCTTATTTCCTACATGGTTACTAGTTGTGGATCTCTATGTTAATATCTGTTTACTGCCAGAAGAATCTTCTCCCATGAGGTTTGAGAGACGTGCTAATCTATGGGTGTCACAATAAGTTTATTAAGAGTTAGTTTAATACTGTGTCCATTTAGCAGAATAGTAGTAGTACGTTTGTGGTCTGTTTAGTGTTGATGCTTTTAAAGACAGTGACTACCAACAACATGCCCTATGGAGCAGTTGTTGGTTTTAAAATCAGGGTATATTGTTATTTTATATCTAAATGTCAAGAAATGCAAGGTAGAGCAGAAACACTTATTTATCTATTTATTTTGTCAAACAAAGCATTTCCAATTAAATACTAATAGGTAATAAAATAGTGACACTCCTTGTTATATGGTATGGTGAAAATCTGCTGATGTCTCTTTTTCAATAATCTATGTCATTGAAGAAAAGAGTAGGTCGGGTATTAACTATGTTGGACAGACTTCTCTGAATATACAAACATTTATTATACTCTCATAGTTTTTCATAGAAGAAACTGACATCAAATTAATTTAAATTAATTTACTTTGTTGAAGTGTCTCTGGGCTACAGAATCTTCTCCTGAAGGAGGCTAAACGAAATTGGCTCCAAATCAAAGCAACTCCTGATTTGCAAAGAAAGCACTGGGATTAGTTAATGAAAACTTGGCAAAAATGTGCTTTTCAAGTCATCTGCTTTTATCAAGAATAAGCTGTGATTTCAAAATCAAGGTGTGATAATAATCACATGCTGCAGGTAGCAATCTGGGAGATATTTCAGGTCTAAAGTGAGAACTAAGACCCCTTCTTCCCAAGGCTGTGTCTTTTTCACTTCCTGACTCTACTGTCCAGTTCTTTCTAATTGTAGCTAGGATGTTATTCTACATGCACCCATTATACAGTATATAATTTGCATATACTATATATTGTATATAAAAGGCATAGTATAAATAATAAAAGTAACACATTTTTTAACTTCCTGAAGTGTGATATGAATAAAAATGTTATAACAGGACCCAGTATTATTTATAAGAAATATTCAACAACAAAATATTTAGCGTAGTAACGAGAAGCAAGTCCAAAGATTCCAATAGAATCCCCCAATAAACCCTTTCATACATATATATTTGGTATATATGTGTATAGATTTGAGGCATTAATTTCCTATAAGTAAAATGTTACACTTTTGTTAAATGATTTTAAATGAGCTGCATAATTACTTTTGTTGATGTCTGCTATCAGACGCCTCTCCCTCCCTCTCACATCAATACTAAACTTAGCTTCGAATTGGTAGCATGCAAAACTTTGAGAAAAATATTAAGGTAAAATAAAGGAGCATCTGCCTGTCTGATCCCAGATTGGAAAAGTTCTTCTCTCTTCTTTTTTCCTATTACTTGCAAAATAACAGATGGGAGTTAAATTTTAAATAAGAAAGAAGATGTTTAAAGAGGGAAAAGACAAGAAGTCTGGCTTATGTGTGAACTCAGATGAGAGAGCATTGAGTTTTCCAGTTGTAGAGCTAGACTAATGAATTAATTATATGTCATTCTAACATAAAGCCATTTCAAGGGCTATTATGAAAGCTCTATTAATTCACTGTGTTATTTTAGCTTGGGACTGTTTCGTTTAGCAGTGAAACTCATTTTACAACATTAAGATATCAATTAATGTAACTTAAACAAGATCCTTGTCCTTAAAATGTTTTAACATAAAATCTACATGTCATTTTCAGAAATTTCTGCATATTTTGGATCCAGCTCCTCTGTGATTTACAATTTTCAAGAAAATTATTCCTTAAGTAAAAACTCTACCTCCCAGGCAGCTTCATTTCATGGTGATATGAAGCTGAGTAGAGAAACGATCAAATTTAGCTTCCGAACAACACGGGCACCAAGCTTGCTGCTTTATATGAGCTCCTTTTACAAAGAATACCTTTCTGTTATCATTGCAAAAAATGGTGAGTTCATTTTAGATGAGAGAGAGAGAGAGAAAGAGAGAGAGAGAGAGAGAGAGAGAGAGAGAGAGAGAGAGAATTGAATCAGAACATTAGGGTGATCATAATATGGGTCCTTCTGGGGTTTTTCTTCTCAAACTACAAACAGGAAAACAAGTTTGCCGAGATTTTATCCTCATTTTGTGTTTTTTAGTACAATTTCACAAATTAATCTAAAAGGATTATTTAAACAATTGAACTGCTTTATGTGTCATTGTGTTTTGGGTAGTTTTACATAAGCAATATTCATTTCTATAAAATATCATGTTTTATTGTTGCCAGGAGTTCTCTGCTGTTTTGTGCATCAATATAAGCTTTTGTGGTTCATTTTGAAATAAAATGTCTTATTGTTCATAATACATATTTCCTATAGTCAAAGTAAAGAAGTATTCAGGGAGTGTTACTGCACCAGTGATATGCAGAAAAATGTCCACATGATGACCTGTTGGTTCTAACAGATAATACTAAAGTCATAAGAACTATTGGTGTGTTCGTGCAGGGTAGTGATGTGTGGGTAGGAAATATACTACCTGCAGAAATCTTATCACTGAAAACCACTTACTACTGTTTTTCTTTGTCCTATATCTGGATGAAAGATGAATATTTTAAAAATAAATTCTTCAGGTGAGAAAAACAAACTGACATATAAGTATGTGACTGTGTCAGTTCACTTAACTCAGATATAGCCCAAGGGCACTGCATATTACAGATAGAAATAATGTTGTCTGAAATCCAACCACCTTGTATGCTTTGAGCTTGAAGGTGATCTATACATTGAGACATTTTTTGTTGATTTGGAATGTATTCTGGGAAATAAATTAATTGAAATCTCTTCAGGCAGTGAAATAGTATTAATTTGAATCATAACTTTGGCTTAAAGTCATTAATTTCATTCGATAGTTTATGTTCATGGTCATTTGGAAATCTTTCTCATTTTATGTAAGACTACATTTGTGTAAAATTCCATCAGCCAATTGTCTTATTTTGAGTGTGAGGTGCATATTTTAAAATATGGGATTATGGAGAAAGGATGTTATTGCAATATTCCATAATAGTTTGGCAGTGTACAAATACTTAGTCTTATTTTCATTTGTTTCTTAAGATAGAGACTTGTGCATATGTGCAGTCTTACATTTGACTTTTAAGGATGAAATTCAAGATTTGCAGGCAATCAGCCGCTATGAGCAATAGGTTTAGTCTTTGAAAATATTTCAATTTCATTAAGGAACTGACTTTTAGGAGATATGTTTAGAAATGTGCAAATGCATGCTTGTGGATCTTTCTGTGAAATGAGTATATAATAAAATGATTGAGACATTTTATAAGCAGTTGTTAAAATATAATTTTTAATGCAAATATAAATTTTCTCTACTTTAGGAAGTTTGCAGATAAGATACAAGTTAAGTAGATATCAAGACCCTGATGTCCTTAACTTTGACTTTAAGAGCATGGCAGATGGACAACTTCACCACATAAAGATTAACAGAGAAGAAGGAATGGTCTTTGTGGAGGTAACATAGACAATTCACCAGAATTCACACCATGCCCTACCATGGGGTATCCATAGCAGAAATTTGATCATGAATCTCATAAGCAATGACATCTTCTCATGGTCTTATATAGATCAGATATCAATTGTCAACTGTGATCAGAAGCTTTTTGTTTTTCTTTCTTTTTTAAAACAAACATCCCAGATATTATTAATATCTGGAACTTGAAACAAGTCTTTCTCATTGTTTTTTTTTGTGCAGAAGGTAAATTAGAAATATGTCTAATTTACCATCACAACCTAAAAGTAGGGCCATCACCACTCCTAGGAAACCCATTTACTTTAGATAGGTATAAATGCAGCAGTCATACCACAACAGAAAATAAAGACAGAACCATCAGAATCAGCTTGAAGAAAGGATATGACTCATGGGAAAGTGGATTTACTCACTGGGGCCACTTTGGCAGAAAAGCACTAATGTTTGACTTTGCCTTATAGAAGAAAATTTCTTAGTTACATGACTCCAGTAAAAATCCCAAGCTATGACAAAGTACTGACGTTATAAAAGCACATGTTTTTTGTTGGCTTTACCAGGTTTGGATTCCTTAGACAGAGAAGAAAGTTGAAGAAGAAATAGCAGATGGGAGTGAAATGGTGTCTGAATGTAGATTAGGAAATAATCACCTCTTTGAATGGCTGTCTCTAAATTTCTCTTTTTTAAAACCATTAGAGCTATTCTAACAATTACCTGTTTTTTTTCTTTCATCTTTCTTTGCTTCCTGTCATTTCTCACTACCAAACAATATCCATTTGGATGGCTGTATCTCCTGTAACGATTTTGTAGATTGACGAGAGTATAAGCAGACGAGCCTACTTGTCATCAGGCACAGAATTCAGTGCAGTCAAATCTCTGGTACTGGGAAAGATGCTCGGTAAGGAAAAGAAACTACTTTTTTTCCTAGTCACAATGTATAAATATGGATCATAAGACACACACACACACACACACACAAACACACTTTCATTCACACACTTTGTCTTGTCGAAAGAAATCTTTTCCTTTATTTTAATTATAAACTGAGTGAATCATGTATAACCATCAGCAGTGGCTTGTTGCAGATGAGAAAACATCCTCCTGTGATAGAAAGACCAGTCTGGTCTCTATCATGCGACAGTCATCATAATGAAACATGATAGTATTCTCTCACCTCAAAAGTACTAAAGGAAGGTAGACATAGCAATGCATATTATCAATCCACTGTTCTTGTGGTTTGAATCAGATGATGCCTGAATGCTTGGTTCCCACTGGTAGCACTATTTAAGAAGGTTGTGGCATCTTTAGGAGGTGGAGCCTTGCTTAAAGACATGGTCACTGGGGTGGGAGGCATAGACGCTGAGATTTGATAGTCCAACCCTACTTCCTGTTCTGCCAAGACATGAGGAAGTGAAGAGTCCCAGGTTTGTACTTCCTCCTGGCACCATCCGCCAGTTTGAGGGGTTACCATCCCCTCCATGATGGATGGTATCCCCTGAAATTGTAAGCCAAAATAACACTTTCTCCCTTAAGTTGTTTCTGGCTGCAGCAACAAAGAAAGGTAATTAGTACAGCTGCCGAATGTACAAACCTTCACCTCGGGATAAAACTGGAATTGGTTGAGGGTGGTGGGAGGTGAGAACAGTTGCCTTCTTCCTGTTAGGGAATATGCTTTTGGCTGTGTTTTACATCTTACTTTATTTGTTGTGCTATAGTTGCCAGACAGTTGCTTAAACACACTTGTGTCTTATGCTTTTTATTTATTTATTTTGATTGCTTCTGATAATGGCATGAAAATAGAAACATTATTTCTAGTAAAACATTATAATACATATGTAATTTTAATAATTATCAACAGGGACTTCACTGAAAACAAAGAAAGTAGATGTTAAAGGAGATTTTGCTTTCAGTTATAAATAGATCCGTCACATTGTTTTGTGGGTGGGGAGAACCTCTTGTATCTGGTTTTCATTCCTAACCTGATGTGGGATAACAAACTAGAATGTTCTGTGCAATGAAATCTTGTGTTTTCTGACCTTGTCCGTTATCCCTTCCTCGATTAGTCATTCCGGATGGTGCCCATCATTTCAGAATCTTGAGAATGTCTGATTAAACCCATGGGTGAATGATCAAAATATTGGCCCTGGAGAAGGTTAATACCTAAGTTTATAAATATTTATAAGCTTTCACATAGTATGATGAGCACCAAAAATATGTGCTCTTGTTCTCCAAAGAGCAGAAATACCCTTAATCACAGTGCCCTTCGAGGGTGTTATAATGGACATTAAAAATATGCACAGAACAAGACTTAGTCATTTGCAAAGTTAACTGAAAAATTCCAAGTGAGCCTCACAGTGTCAATATTTTCTCCAGTTTTTGAAGACTGACATATCATTTACTGTAAGGGTTTATACAAAGTCCAACACATTGGATATAAGATGATGATTCAACTATATTTTGTAGCTTTGAAAAGTGACTTGGATCCTAGCCCCAATATAACTATCAGATATGACAATATACATTTTAACCTAAATACATGAATACTTACTAGTTTTAGACTTAATCAAAATTTAAATTTAGAGAAACAATGGTTAATGGGTCTGGTGGCACACTCAAATAATCCCAGCACTTAGGAAGCCTAAGCAGGGGGATCATGAGATCTGGCTAGCCTGGGGCACATGGTGAAACCATATCAAAAAAAAAAAATTCAAAAGAGTTAAAAAGAAAAGAAATAACAAAACACTGGCTAAACCCTCAGTTAAAAAAGGAAATATTTTTCCAACTTGACATTGGGAAATATTTAATCTATTTTAGGCCAGTGTAGAAATGAGGGCCCAGCCTCCATGAGCTGGTGATTAAGCCTGGGTGTCTAGGGAAGGTGATGCTCAGCAACATTTTTTATCTTAACACTGAGTGTTCTGGTCCGTTTATTACTATGGCATAGCATATGAAGCCAAAGGGAATTTTAAGAAGAATGAAATCCTGTCATTTGCAGCAAGATAGATAGAATTGAAGGTCATCGTGTTAAGAGAAGCTAGCCAGACACAGAGAGCCCAACACTACATGTCCTCTCTTAAATGAGGAAGTTCAAAAGAATCAATCTGAGTGTAAATTAAAGATGACTAGAGGCCAGGAAGAGTTGAGAAAGGGAGATACCAAAGTGCAGCAAATGAGAAGGATGAAGCTAAGTGTTCCACTGCATGGTGGGGAGTCCCCAGGTCACAACAACCGATTACTTATCCTATGAAGAACTAGAAGAGACACTTACAGTCTCCAAACAGAAAAACATGATAAAGAAATGGAAATGCTTATTATTCAATATGATCAATATTGACTGTATGCATGTATTGAAACAATCATACCAAATGCCATAAATAAGTGAGTAAGACAAGTTAATAAACAGTTTAAAATAATGTTTTGCTGTAACAGCTCACAAGCTCTAAGTACCAACAGTAGCAAAACAGCGACAACAGTGCAGCTCAACCTGCGTTAGCTGTGGGACTAATTATTCCCCGCCCCCGTGTCTCTGAGCCATGGGGGATGTAGATTGGGAGGAATGCGATCCCCAAAGAGACTTAGGAAGAAGCGCAGTGGGATGATGACAGTGTGGAGGCCCATCCTCTACAGTTCAGTCTTTTGAAGACCTCACGGTTGCATATCGGACTCATAGATGACTTCTCTATTCTGTCCTCCACTGAGGAGGCACACATACATCACATCTCTCACAGAATTAAAAGTCTGGAGACCTGATGTATGGAGGGAGTGCCTGTCCTCCAGATTGCACCATCACAATATAGTCTAATGAGTGGAACTATTAGCAACTATAACATTATCTTTAAAAATACTTGTATTAATTCTTTGGGGATGTCATACAATGTATTTTGAGCATATTTACCCCTCCCACAAATCCTGCCAGAGCCTCTGACTTTGTGTCCTCATTCTTCTAAAGCCAGCGATATACTCTTTGGTGTGGGGACATGCACTGGAACAGGGCCTATCTACCAGGGGCCATATCCTTAAATAAAACGGATTCTCCCAGCACCCGTAATTTTCTAATGGCTTCTCTTCTAGGTGTGGGACTTTGTGTCCACCTCCCTGAAGCACATGCTGGGATTTTGTATGGCTTGAGCTTGGAGGTCTTGTGCACACTGTCACCACCACTGTGAGTTCATAAGGGTTGTGGCCCTGTTGTGTCCAGAAAAGAATTTCTTTGTAGTCATCACCCTCCTTTGGCTCTTACAATTTCTCTGCCCACTTTTCCATGATGGTTTCTGAGCATGGTGAGGAGTGTGATGTAGAAGTACCATTTAGGGGTGAGCATTTTATACTTGTTGTCTATACTTTAGCCAGTGTGAACCTCTGTGTTAAGGGTCATCTGCTTCAAAAAGAAGCTTCTCTGAAGAGAGCAGAGAGATGCACTAATGTATGGCTGTAGCCATAGTCATTAGGAATTGGTTTAATACTATGTTCATTCAGCAAATAAATGTAGAATCTCCCCCAGGGCCCCAAGACCTATTTAGTTATATATTCTCGGTCCCATCAACAGTGCTGGGTATGGTCCATCTTGTACAGAAGGCCTTAAATCCAATAAGAACATGGTTGGATACTCTCCTAACATTCAAGCCACTGTTCATCAGTGGGCAAATCTTGCCATCCCTGACTTTATTAGAGCACATAGGGTTCACAGCTTGGTAAAGTGATGATTACTTTTCTGGTAGCAAGTCAGAAGGGATGAAACTCTTGATATCAAGAAAACATATTGGTTAAGATGGTTTTATGTGGAAAAACAGCCATAGTGGCAGAAAGTCATGAAAAACATCAAAAGATTAAAACAACTCTTGACCATAAGAGCTTTTGAGGCTAGCAGGTTTTGAAACAAGATTTGTAAGACACACAACACAAGAAAAAATTCTGTTTATGGATAATATTGAAAAACCATACTTTGTCTTCAAATTTCATGTCAGAATTTCTGATAAAATATTACTGTGAGCAGAGATATGCTAACTATATTATAAATTAACTAGAACATCAATATGCAGTCTGTGAAGAGGATTGTACTAGCTACAATGTGGAATGATGTTTAATGCTTTTTTTGTAGATAAATGTGGGAGATTAGTATGGAATTGAAGATGTTAATGCTTTTATTCAAGTTGCTATTATTCAAATGTATATTATTCATGTTGAAAAATCCAAATTGAGCAATGAACTTTAAATCAATTCATTATCCCAAGAATATAAGCGATAGTTTATTTAGCATGTGCCTAAGGTGTGGATCTTGATGGAGAACTGATCATTTGTAACTCAGAGGCAATTAACAACTTATAGTCAAACTTTGTGTGGCATGTGAATTTATTATAAAACATTATAAAGTATATTATTATATGATTATGTAATATATTAAGCTATGATAAAATATATTAACAAAATGGTGGACAAATGAGGCTGTTATTAGTTTTCCATAGAGAAATGCTCAGCCTTGAAGTTACATACTGTGTTAGTACAGTTCTTTTGAGAAACACCTGCCAACGCAAGATTAAACATGGGGAGATTTTATTAAGAGAACACTGTGTAAGACAAAATGCTGAAGGGGTTGCCTAAGTCATGCAGATGTCTCTATATGTGAAAGAGAGGTGGGGGTATGAAATATACATGTGCTACACCAAACAAAGTGTCTTTGCTGAGCTCTTGAGTCAAAGTTAGAGGAGTCCCATCATTCCAAGGAATAACTCTACCTTAGGATTTACTGTGAGCTGTCATTGGTTGGTGGAAGCCTACAGCTCTGTATGACTTTGACACCAGACTGAGCTAGACTTCAGAGCTTAGCATTTAGGCTCCTCTATTTGAAGATCTTTGGGGCAATTTTTCATGGCCCCACATTTATCAAACTTGCTTTTCTGA